TTCTGTCGGATGTGTGCATTGCAGGAACAACTGCTGTCTCTTGCACTCCATATCCCGAAGATGGGAGGGCGTGGCTGAGCACTCCAATTGAGCAAAAGGGAACGTAGCCGCTCGCTCCGCTTTTCTGTGTGCTTTTTGAGTCTTATAGTAACCCTAGCACTAGTAATAGGGATGCAGTTGCTAAACTTCGACTTCACTTAGGGCAATTTAAGGCCCCAACGACCTACCAAGGTATCGAGCGAGCCTAGCTTGAAGGTCATTCATAACAGTTCACTTTAGGCTAAAAAACCGCGAAAGATGGAGGCAGCGGAAATCGGTGCTACCAAATTTACACATGCCGGCGCGTTGGTTCTTGATCCGCGCTTGAAGGGACCCGTGGTGAGTTGAGTTCGTAACTTCACGAAGTTAGTAGGTTCTATGGACAGCACAGGAGGACGGTAATTTGTCTCATCCGCAAAACAAGGCTGCAAACAAAGCGACTACTACTCTACGCAAGAATCTTCTCTGGATCTATCTGTGGAAATAGAACTTCAAAAGGGCTCTAGGAAACACCTTGTACTGTCCATCATTCTATCTACACTCTTGTTCGCTACGGATGCTAGGGCGTGTCAAGTGGGGATGGGCTGACGCAATGCCCCACCCCTTCCTCCGTTCCTCACCAGATGTGGAAGCGGGCTAGCAACAGTTGGTGGAAAACAGGCTGGCACCGCGCCAAACCCAGCCCTCTCGTGAATAAACTGTATTTATGCTGTTTCCTAGTAACTGTGCAGAATTTCAATACAGTATCAGAACGACGACGCTGGGGAAGAATTTTCCGAGCCTAATTACAGAAGCACGCTCTTCCGAGCAAAGAAACAGAAGAAGAGTTACCGACTCTTCAATTCGACCCGAAACTTAATGAAATCGTTGATATAGGCTCAGATGTAGAAGTTTTGAAAGAAGTGAGTCGACTACTATACAGTTTTGATGGCATTTTGAAATAACTTCCGAGTTCCAGGAAAAATACGACAGCGCCGAAGATGAAAAGGTACGTGGTAACCATATTCTGTCTCTCCGATTCAGATTCCACTTAGTTAGTCCCACTACCTAGCACACATTCGGAGGGGGAGAGGGTTGGGAATATTGCGATTCCGCTTAGCACAACAAACTTTCTTGGCAGAATAACCTTCCCAGCGCTTACGCCACATATCTCGAAGATGGAAAAGGTACGTCAACCTGTCATGTTCTGGTCAAGACGTGAGTAATTGCCCCAAAAAGGCAAAACCCACTTCAAGACTCACTCACTAAAAGCACAACTGTCACCCTTACTGAATGAAAACGGCCTTCTCATGTCCGTTGATATGGAACTTTCCTCCCAACAGGGCCCAAAGGTACATACAGCCCTGATTCCAGTGCTAACCGATAGGCTGCGTGCTTGTAGGCGCTCTCAGAATTGGATTTCATTGTATTAGTTGTTGCGGAAAGTTCTTCATCCCGAACAGTTCAAGAGATGGCAGCGAAAGCTAGGCCGTTGGCAAACCAGCCCGTTCCCGGATGGTCTGAAACGCATTGGAAAGGTGAAAAAACTCGACAAGTGGGTGCCCCACAATTTGAGTGACCGGCAGAAATTGGCACGTCTCGAGGTTTCTTCCTTCACTGCTTTTGCGCAACAGAAACGACCCGTTTTGGACCGAATTGTCACCTGTGATGAAAAGTGGATCATGTATGAGAGGAGACGTTACCGGACACTAGCTGGACGCCGACCAACCACCGAGGCAATTTCCAAAGCCGAATCTTCACCAAGGTTATGCGGTCCCAGTGTAGGTAGTCATCCAGGCTACTCGTGGGATCCACATAAACCATATTTTCGCTTACCAGGAAATGCCAACCATCATAGCACAGTCCTGACTTGGAAGAAATCGACGAAATATACGTAAATTGCGGTCAGCCTGCACAGCCAGCACTTGTCAACAGAAAGGGTCCGATTCTTTGCATGACAATGACGCACACGTTTCACAAATCACTATCCATAAATTGAACGAATTGGGGTTGAAGTTCTACCTCACCCGCCATATTCTCCAGACCTTTCACCAACCGACTATCACCTTTTCAAACATTTTCAGAACTTCCTTGCTGGAAAATACTTCATCAATCAGGACCAGGCAAAAAAGCCTTCGTGGATTTCGTGGATTCTCGACCACCCAGTTTTTTCTTGATGGGATTTATCGACTGTGTCACATTGGCAAAAGTGTGCTGATTCGAACGGTGCTTATTTCGATTAAATCCGATGAGTATTAAGAAAGTTATGATCGTTTAAAGTGAAACACTCAAAACGCTGAGAACTTTCCGGACAACCTAATATGCGCTCAATGCTGCGCTCCAGTCCACGCCCCTCATGCGCCCTACGGTTTGCGGCGGTCATGACTGCACATAAGGTAGGGCCAGGAGGCAATGCGGAGAAGGGGCGATTTTGAATCTAAGCTTACCCACACTAACAGAGCTTTTCGCCTTCTTGGAATCAGCTAACCGGTATCCGCATGTGTTTGAGGGCAGCAATACCGCCCCACCTTGTAGTTTCACGCAATTCGCCACCTGAAATGCATACTAAGAAGAGATGGGCGGTTTTGTGGAACTCCCGTAAAATGAGTTCGTCATCATTCCTGTTCAGTCGGTAGGTCTCATTGTCGGCAATGGTTCATCTCTATGCACATAATCTCTGGGTGTGGCAGACCATGAACGCTGTCTAAGGACATGACAAACCACTTTCACTTGGAACCAGCCAATTTTCTTCTTTTCTTTTCCT